TCTGTGCTTCTTCTTCGATTTGGCGACTTATTACAAAATATTTTACTACCTTGTTTTCTCTCATTCGTCTGATATGGTTATTACATTTTCTTTTTCTTTCTTGCACCTACTCATTAATTTTAAACTTATTATACTTTTAAAGACTAGTGTTCATAATGAAAATGTATTATTTAATTGATAATTGAAATTTTATGAGAATTCAAAATTTTAGTACAAAATATTTTTGCAGATAAAAACGGCACTGAAGACAAATGTCAGAAACCACTAGCACGTGTCACGCCCATAAAAAAATGTGATACAACCGACACATGTGTTACCACTCAGAACTCGACTGTTAGGAACTTGAACTCGTCTTTGAACTATCCATCAACATACCATTATAGCATAAGGAACCGTACTAATAAGAACAATAGGGATCTGGTACCTGAGGAGGAAGACGGTACAGACTATTCGCCTGACCCTTTTGAAGATTCAGGTAGTGCGTACTCCCCTAGTTCAGATGGGAGTAACTCTAGTTTGGATGTTTCAAAAGAAAATGTGACAAGTCCTATTACTGAAGACCATAATAAAGAAGACACTCCGTTAACCCAGCGTATAGTGGCTCAAAATACCAAAGATGATGTAGAATTATGCCCAGTGTCAGTAGCCGAGACGAGAAAAGAGAGAGAAAATAATGGAAAGAGAATACGAGATAAAGGACACTCATGCTATTTTTGTCAAAAAATAATATGCAACAACTTTTCTAGACATGTTGAGAAACATCATGAAAATGAAACGGAGGCTGCTAGAATCTTAGCTATGCCCAAAAACTCTAAAATACGACGGGACGCATTCGCCAACTTAATAAGATATGGAGACTTTTACCATAATTGCGACGTCCTATCTTTGAAAGAAGGGGAACTTATTTTAACTAGGAGACCTACTACCAAGGAAAAAGCATTTATATCATACTCGGATTATGGTCCCTGTCCTGAATGCTTAGGGTTTCTTCTCAAGAGACAGCTCTGGCATCACTTACGATATACATGTCCTTCAAAGTCGAAGAACGATGAAGATTCTGAAAGAGCTTCGGGAAAAGGTCCTATCGTAGAAAGTGCAGCACTATTAAATGGTATTTTAGGACATAATTTCACACCTCGATTCTTAGACATCGTGAACCATTTTCGAAATGATGCAATTTCCAGTAGATGCAAAGAAGACAACACAATCATGCTTTATGGAGCATTCCTGTATGAAAAATATAGCTGCACGCAATCGGAACTTATAAGGCAGTCTATGAGACAGCTGGGGAGATTAACTCTAGAAATGAAGAGGAAAGGAGAAAGTTTCCAAAATTTAAGTGAAGTCCTTGTTCCCCAGAAGTTCGACTTGATTGTTAATGCAACCAAGGTAAGTCTGTTAAACACTATATAGACTTACGTTTTTAGAATTGTTCTGATTTAATTGAGAATAAATTTCATTTAAGCTATATAATCACTACACATATTTTTTTTTTATAGGAAATTTGTATAGTAACTAGTGATCCAACAAAAAGGCAAGAATATCAAATCCCATCTCTAGCTCTCAAAATAGGATATGCCATAAAAAAGTGTGCATCGATTGAACGAGGACAATGCCTAAGACGAGGAGATCTGAAAAAAAATAGACAACTTGTTGCATTCCTTCATTTATTGGACCTAGAATGGAGTGTTAGAATTTCATCTAATGCACTTTCTACCTTGTATTCCAGAAAACAGAACGCAGAGGACTTGCTTCCAATTACTAGTGATCTGATTAAGCTAAATAGCTTTTTAGACTCTAAAATAAGGGAAATAAGGAAAGACCTTTCTTCCCTAAATTATAGTAAACTTGTCTCCCTTACATTAGCTAGAATCATAATATTCAACAAAAGGCGTTCTGGGGAAGCAGCAAAAATGACTCTTAGCCAATATTCGTCAAGACCCAACTGGAAAAATTTCGGAACAGAGGAACTGAAAAATTCATTGACTCCTCTAGAAAACAAAATTGCATCTTCGTTAACCATGGTAAAAATCATGGGCAAACGTGGGAGAATAGTGCCTATTCTACTTACCAGTGAAATAAAAGAAACAATTGATTTGATCATATCCCAACGTATACAATATGGAGTCCTTAGTGAAAATCCATATGTTTTTGCCATTTCAAAAACAACAGGAAGTCACATGAGGGGACATGATTGTCTCAAAAAGTGGTGTGAAGAAGCAGACCTTAATGCACCTGATTTAGTGACCAGCACTAAACTAAGGAAATATGTAGCAACTGTGTGCCAAATATTCAATCTAAATGAAAATGAATACGATTGGCTAGCTCGCCACCTGGGTCATGATGTTCGCGTTCATAGGGAATTTTACCGTCTGCAAGAAAACGCAGTCGAGCTTACAAAAGTAAGTCGTTTACTCCTAGCGGTGGACCAAGGTGAAGCTCACAAATTTGCAGGAAAGGCACTAAAGGACATAAATCTCACAGGTATTCGTAAGTTCTTAGTTGAAATTTTAGAACGCACTTAGTTAGTACCAACTTGTATTATATAATTTTTTTTTAAGATATGGATGGCATAGAAGACAAAGAGGCTGACTGCATAGAAGCAAATAATAGTAACGTTGGGGAAGATGAACAGAATGAAAATATTGCTTTGCCTGAAATAACAGGTAAGGACCGATATGTAACTATTTTTTAATTATAAAATCGAACAATATTTAGAACTGAAACTTTGGGTGACTTTTCAATGCGTTGATTACTAAAAGTCCTTTACTGAACAGATTCTGTGAACAATATACTTCCCAAAATTCATGCAGAATTTAAATTTATTAGAAAACACAATTCTTTAGATTTTCCTTTTCTATCGAATCATCAAATTATTTTTCGAATCGCATATTAAATAAATGGCATCTTCAGATTTGCTAGTTACGCCCAATCTTTTATCGATATTTTCCATGATCATTTTGCACAAAAATGGTTTTGATTCATTGATGCAATATTAGAATTCTTTTTTTAATTAATAAGTGATTTTAGTAACGCATACGATTGAATCGTGCCGCATAGCAATTAAATTACTACCTGAAGCATTTCGGTCATCAAAGTTGACCTCCTAAACAGCCTGTGGGTTTTTTTAAGTGGATAATATGATGATAAGCGGTTTCAAAGTCACCGAGTCACAATAATTTAATTGCTGCATTAGCAATTTCCTGGTACTGTACTCTCTCGTCTCAGTCTACAGAACTGGTTCCCGATAGTGTACTCGTATTCAAATTTCATAAACCCTGTGAAAACAGACACCAGCGCAGTATTCAACGCGCGTCTTATAATTCTTTTTCAGCTATTCACAGTTTAATAGTACCATTTTATTTACTTGTAGATGGGGGAGCTGGAGCAGTGCACAGAAATGATCCAAAAAAGAAATGTGTTAGCTTCAAGCGCAGGCCATGGACCACCGAAGAAAAGGAAATAATCCTAAAGGAGTTCAAATCACTTATAAAGAGGGGCTCCCTGCCAGGAAAAGAGCAATGTACCAAGTTATTAGAGGAGCAAATAGTGTTCACAGGAAGAAAATGGACCGATGTGAAATTTTTTGTTAAAAACTATTTACAAAAATTAAGAAAAATAACGAATACATTTTCTGATTAGGCGGCGTTAAAGTATTACGTAACGCAATGTTTTGCAAGATTTTTGGCCCCCCTCCCTCCATGTAACGCGCCGTCACACTCTTGTGTGCCCATGAGTAACCATGTTTACCTAAAAGTACCTAAATTACCTAAAAGTCGGTAAAATAACTTTTTTTAATATTTTAATCACATTTTCGGTAATATTAAATAAAACAAAAGATTTCGAACTCGCTATAATTAACTTTGATTACTAATATTACAATATTTTAGGTTTTCCTTACTTGGTTCCGCGTTACATTTATTTTTGGCTGCATCCCTTATTATTCTTCTCATGCAATCTTATATCAACTTTTTTAAATAATAAACTTATAAATTAACATTTTTATTTCTACATTTGGCAATACAATTAGAAACGGAAACGTAACTGAAGTAAAACATTCTATCTTCTTTCGGTGCCATATAAGATAACCCTAACATTGGCAATTACATTGGCGAATTGTTCACGGTCTTTATCTAATCGAAATAGTTTTTCGGTACTCCGTTTTCCTATCCAATCGCAAATGTTCTTAAGCCATGACATTTTGCTTCCAATTCTTCTGCTGATCTTGATTTGACCGTTTATGATGAGCTGAAGGATTCTGTATCCGTTTTCTCGGAGACCATGCAACAGGCATAAAATAGTTCTTTTATTCCAGGTCCAGGGGGTTTCGGGGCATTCTTCTCTACAATTACATCTCAAATGCCTCTAGGCGATTGATCAGCCTTCAGAGTCCAGGTCACGGTGGTTTGTAACAACGCTGACAAAATATATCATTTGATAAATATTTGACGTAATTTTGAGGTTAAACTGTGGTCACAGAAGAATGATCTCATTTTTCAAAACGTTCGAAACAAACTAGATGCTTCCATTCTGCATTTGATTTCTTGACTTGGGTCTAGTTGATCTCTATTGTAGCATACCAGATATTTAAAGTGAGTAACTGTCTCAATTTTTTGTATAACTATTTGTAGGGAAGCATTGTCGTAAGGTTGGCGATTGAAATAATAAATTTTGTCTTCCTGTCGTGAAGATTTAGTTTTAGACCCCTTTCTCTTCCTGTCGTGTTTACTCAATACAAAAACTTATGAATGTCCTGGAGAATATCGCATAAGATAACAGTGTCATCAGCATATCTAAGATTATTGTTCAGTTCACCACTGATTTTTACTCCCAAAATCTTTATTTTGCAAAGCCTGTTTGACAATTGTACCCGAATAGATATAGTAGTAGTATTATACCCGAATAGAATAGTATCACAGCGGGATAGAATACATCATATCTGTCGCCTCTTTGAATGTAAAATGCATTGATTAATGTACTATCGGCTGGTACGACTACTTCCAATATACGTTTTCTATGATGTGTAAATCTCTATCATCAATGCATTTGATTCTTAATGTGTTCAATAGTGTTCCAAACTTACTTTGGAAAAGTATATTTAAGCCAAGAAAGCCTAACAAGTACGCAGCGCATTCCTAAATCCAATCTGAATTTCACCTAGCTCCCTTTTGTAATGAAAAATGCGAAGAAAAAAATGTGTGGCTCATCAAACAGTCAGTGTAGCTAATCTGCATTCGTCGTATTTTTTTGTCCCTATTTCTTCGAAATTGCTAAAAAACAAACTTCAGCCAATCCTCAGTTATTCTACCAGTAGTATAATATACATCATTAAAAAGCTTAACTAGAGCACTGATGTAGTCGTGTTGTATCATTTTTAAGAGTTCAGCTAAAATGTTGTCTGGTCCAGTTGTTTTCTTGGATTTGACTGATTTTATTGCATGAAGAAATTCAAATTTCTTCAATTTAATCCTTCGGTTCTTTAAACCTTCGACTTGAAACTTCAGGTCCTTCTTGATTTACTTTGCTTTGTATGTTTTTCCTGCCACCTTAAAAAAATTCAGTTATATAATTAGTCCATGTTTAAATATTTCTCGTTCATCAATGATATCTTTTCCTGCATTAGCTACTACAGTATTAGTGTTTTTTTTATGATACAGACCCGCAAATTTACGAACATTGTTGTGCTGCAAATTGAACATGTCATACTTCTTTTCTAATGTTTTCATTTCTAAACATATATCTGCCATCCACTTTTCTTTAGCCGCTCGAATTTTTTGTTTTATTTCTCTTTGTTTTCTTCTGTATTCGTCTGGCTTGTCCTTGTATTTTGTTCTTTGTTCTATTAGGTCTAATAATTCCTCCGTCATGCATTGAATCTATTAGTTACACTATATTCTTCTATTATCTTGGTCATCTGTTCACGAAATAAATTCTTTTTTTTTTAACATTTTTGGTTGTTCTCATTTCTTTCATATAATTGTAGACCATTTCATAATTTTCTATTTTACTTTTGTTAACGTCCGAAATAGTAAAATTCTTTAGCTGATATTTATTCTCTATTCGTTTTAGTCTGACTCTTTCATCGGCGATTAAAGGGTTGTGATCAGATCCATTATCTGCTCCTGAGTATCCCATATTATGTTTTTAAGGTCGCATTGTAGTGATAGTCAAAAGAAATCGTAAGGCACCTGCTTACATTATTTCAACAACCTTATTAGAAGTTGTGAAAACTTGCATGATCCTTTATCTAACTGACTAGACAGAAAAACAGTTTCAATATACTTCTCGAGTGGTAGCAGCAGCATTCGTACGCACATTTAACCACTTGCCAGAAATATTACGATTTACGGTCGTGAGTGCTATACCATTCCAGATTAGGTTCTGCTGAATCCTGCAAGCTCTATTTAGGCCTTCTATGTTCCACTGAAACAGCTTCATTGTCAATTTTCACGTTTTATTTTGACAATTTTGTAGAATGAATTAAATTTAATAACACTGACCACAGCAACGTGTTTCTGTGTATTACCTACAAAGAAAACAAAATAAAAAGGGCGTATAATACAGTCGAAGGATTCCTCGTAAAACATAAACAAAAGGAACATAATAAAAATATGGTACAAGTCATTGGAGGGATTCCCCTTAAAGATAAACGAAACGAATTAACAACCGGGGAGATTTCTCCATAGCTTTTTTATTTACAAGACTCCCCTCCCCCTTAATAGCGGTTGTTTCGACTGATTTCAACTAAATGTTTATTAAAATACCTGGTTTTATGAAATCAAAACCAGGTGAAATTTTCTAAAATTCAATATTTTTCTTTATGTGCCGTTTTATACCGAAGGTTAACGACCATCAAACGATAGGTTTATCTGTTTTGTGCCACATGTATTATGTTTAAAGTTTAATAAAGTAACATTATCGAAAAACTTATTTTGTTTTATTTTCCATAATTGTGGTTAATTCGACAACACGTTTTAGAAAAGACAAAGGCCTAACTACATCCTTAGCTTTGTTGTTTTGTTTTAATTGTGTTATTTTAAATACATGCTCTTAGTATAATATTCGGATAAATAAACAGTGAAAGCTTTAAACAGTTAAAGTGTTTCCACAGTAATTGTTTCCAAGAACAATTAGTCTCTCTAAATTATGTTGTGCTGTTGTAGAGATGTAGAAATCGTTTTTTTTTTTAATTCAAGTTGGATAAGAATGAAAACTTTTGTGCGACGGGCCGTCTAAAAAATTCGACGCATTCTTCTCCAGCACCATATCTCAAAGGCATCAATTTCTTGATGAAGATGTCTAAGTTTCTGCCCCATATAAAAATATTTAGAATGCAGGTACATTCACAAGTCTCATTTTGATTGTTTGAGAGATAGATCTATTTCCAAACTTAACTTAGGCGACTTATCGTATTTTTTGCCATATGCACATTTAGCGTTTTCGAGTTTTTGCTTTGCAGTTACCATTATCACTTCTACTAGATCCGAGATAGTTAAAACTCTCTACTATCCTGTAAGTGCTTGTTCAGCTGAATAGTCTTGAATTTGTCATCAATATCTTCATCTTGTGTATATTAATTTAAGACCAACTTTATTGCTTTCCCATTCAGCTCTTCCAGTTCATTTGCTGCTGTAAGGATAATATCTTCTATAAATCTTAAATTGTAGACTTTTCTATCAGCCACCGTTACTCCATCAGACTATCCTTCTAAAGCTGTCCTCACGACATGTTCACCAAACATATTGAATAAGTATACGCATCCTTGTCTTTCCTCTCTCTGTTCTGAATTGAGTTGAGAATTTCTGATCTAGTCATACTGTTACCATATTGGACTGGTATAGAAGTGTCGTCAGGAGTATAGGTGTACCCATCTCTTTTATCAGCACGGTATCATAGATACTTGAAACTGTGTCCACTTTTCAATGAGTTGTCTTAGGTGCAGGATTTGCTCAAGTATACCTTTTCCATTTACAAATTTCGCTTGTTCTTGTAGTATTTGATGATGTAGGAATTCTTCAGGATCACTATCTACTTGATCTAAAGAAAGGTGTTATTCTAGGTTTTGCTGGAATTCGTTGATTTTTGTGGGGTTAAGGGACGTGATACTTATTCGGGATCTTTTTTAAGTACTTTAAAATGAAGTCTGATAATAATACTAGGAGTTGATGCATATGTATCCTCTTATCTTTTGGTGGCCTAGGCTTTCCATCTGAAATTTATTAGGATAATGTAATCTATTTGATTTCTTGTTCGTCCATCTGGGCGGCGCCATGTATACAATCTACGTAGACATCCCAATTTCATAACAAATCCAAACCCAGACAATATATTAAGATAGTAATAGTACCCCTGACCCAGTAAGCTTAATAAAAACTTATACGGATGATCTAGATAAGCTACTGAAACAGTTAAATCAACTACATGAAAATTTATCAATATTATTCTGAACCTATTTTCTTATGGCATCTTAATTCAATTACTATTTTTATGGGAATAAGCCACAATATAAGTTAAAAATAAGTTTATTTTTGACGTTTCGACTTCCACTTCGGAAATCGTTATAAAAAATATATATTGTAGCCTATTCCCATAAAACTACTAATTAAAATTTATCAAATATGAAAACAAAAAATAGATACACT